TTCGCGTATTTCCCTGGTATATACGGGAAACTAAGCAAGGAAGTGGCTTTCTTCTTTTCCTTTTAAAGGGCCACCAAGAAAGAGTCATTTCTGTACACCGGAGTAGACTGAACAAAGGGAGGGTAGGGGGACTCACAGAAAACAGGGCAGATAGAAGCAAGGAGGAGAGGGGTGACACACGGGTGTCACTAATTCCTGACTCTGAAGCTGGGGATCCCCTAAACCAGAACATTAAGGCCCCGAGTTAACATACTTGTGCTCTAAGCCCTGTCCACCCCTCCCCAATGGCCAAACAAAATGTTTTCACCACCTCAAACCAGGCGGCTGGGATAAAGGTTTGAGGGGTTTCTGGGGTTGGATTCTGTTTCCCTCCATAACAATATTTAAGTCATCAGGCAAGGCGGTTTATCAGTTTTCTCCCTCACCAGGTCTCTGCCTCCCCCGGGCTGCAGCCCGGGATTCCATGAGTAAACCCATCAAAGCAATGACTCACAGGTCCTGGATGGGCTGGTGCTTCTTAGAAGATCCCATCAGCCAAAATCCAAATCAGATCTCAAACTGTCCTATCTTTCAGAGGCTGAGAGGAGCTAACAGCCCAGTGGGAACCAGGGAGGGCGAGGCACCCACATGGAAGGGAAGGTTCCAGCTAGCCATCCATGACTACCCTAATAACCCAAGCGTTTTCTGGAACCAGGGAGATTTCATTAGACCATCTGACTAACCAAAAGGTGGAGAATCTTCCAATATCATGACATTTAGCTGCTAGACAATGAATGAGCTTCTAGAAGTGGAACCCTCCTTCACAGAGTTCAGCGTGTTTAATACCCACGAAGGCACAGCCCCCAAGAACTGGCTCCTGAATCACATGCACCCAGCCGGTCCCCCCACAGCTTCTGTCCCGTTCGTGAGGTCCCTGGGAACATGCCACTTATCTCAAAGATATTGTTAAAAAAAAAAAAAAAAAAAAAGATGACCTTGGGGCACGTGGGTGGTGCAGTTGGTTAATCGTCTGACTTCAGCTCAGGTCATGATCTCATGGCTCCTAAGTTCGAGCCCTGCATCAGGCTCTGTGCTGACAGCTCAGAGCCTGGAGACTACTTTTTTTTTTAATGTTTATTTATTTTTGAGATGGAGAGAGACAGAATGTGAGCAGGGGAGGGACAGGACAGAGAGGGAGACACGAGATCCGAAGCAGGCTCCAGGCTCCGAGCTGTCAACACAGAGCCCAGGGCGGGGCTCCAACCCACGAACTGCAAGATCATGACCTGAGCCGAAGTCGGATGCTCAACTGACTGAGCCACCCAGGCCCCCCTGGAGACTACTTTAGATTCTATGTCTCCCTCTCTCTCTGCCTCTCCCCTGCTTGTACTCTGTTTCCCTCTCAAAAATAAATAAAACATTAAAAACAAGATGACCTTGATCTACCCATATCAGCAACCAAGAGGGTGAAAGCAAAGCCTCAAAAAAAGACCCTGGGGGCCCTTCTCAGAGGTGAATAGTGGCGGGAGTGTGCCCTGCATGCACATGTGTGCCCCTACCCAGGAGACGGTTTTATCTGTTTACGGCAAAAGTGAAATGTCCATCCTGCCCTATGGAAACTTCTGGCTCCAGAGAAGGAAACTTACGTACTCACCGAAAAACTGATTCACCAAACCCAGCAATACCACATGCCTCCTGAACAAACACCCTCCGTTTCCTCTGCACCCCTCCCCACAAACGCCCCGCTGATGTGTGCAGCTCACAGAAAGGGAAGCCCTCTCTTGAACTCGTGGGTGTATAAAGGCTGCTTCACAATGACTGTGGCTGTCCCCTGGCAGCCTGGGCACCTGCTCGAGAGCTGACAAGCTCATGAGGACACCCCCTCTGGGCTGGCCCCCTTGATCACGCTGATGCCAAAGGGAATAGGAGCAGGTGAGCAAGTGGCCGGCCTGGTGTCCGAGCCCCGGCACTGAAAACAGCACGAGCCCCTGGTCAAGGGACACGGGGAGACGCCGGCTGCCACCTGCCTCCTCCGACTAAAAAGTTCTCTCTTTCCTCAAGCATCAAAATGCATAAAGAGCCTCAAAAAACTCACAATTACTGGGAAATGAACACAAGGAACTTCTTCTTAGCTACTGGAGCAAAGTATTTTTGACTCAAAAAAAAAAAAAAATAACAAACGGAGACATCCTGTAACCGTTAAGTCCGGTCCAAATCAGTAAATGTCAAGAAGGAAACACTCACAGTAGGATTAGAAGAAGAAGAAGAAAAAGAAAGAGAAAAAAAGGAAAAGGAAAAACATGACCCCTCTCGTTCTAAAAGGAGGACAGTGATTGATGGGGTTGAGTGAGATGCGGTGTGTGTGTGTGTGTGTGTGTGTGTGTGTGTGTGCGCGTGCACGTGCGCGCTGGTGGAGGGGGGAGGGTCAGGGCCAAGAAGCAAATACTTGGTCTCCATCATGAAGACTCTCGGTGTTACCTGCGTCATAGAGGAGGCTGGGCTAATACAGCATGAAAAGTGGCCTCGCAAGTAACTAGGAACAGCCCATCCTTAAGACATCTGGTTACAGGCTCACCTGTCGCCAGGGGAAAGTATGCTTGGCATCTCCGTGGCATTTTCTCTGTCATCAACATCTCTGCCGGCCTTTATGGGGCCTTTCACTCCAGCTACACTCCAATAACCCTCTTGTACCCAGATACCTGACAGGCACCTCCTCCTCTACCAAAGGGGCCGTGCTTCCTGACGGCGCATTCTTCGTAAAGAATTGCACAACCCATTTCGACATCTATGAGGAGCTAAGGTGTGTCAGCATCCCCCCAAATAAATCAATCTCTCAGAGATTTGTGCGCTTTCCTCTGCTACGAAAACCCAAGATCACTACATATGATGGCCCCCAAATCACCTTGGAACCACTGGTGAAGGTGACAGGCCGTATCTTGCACAGAACCTGGGTCGGACCAAGCCCTCAGGAAATTATGATAAAGAAAGGAAGCAGGCGAGGGCGGGGGGAGAAAAAAGGAGACGACCTAGTGTTCCCTTCGATCACACAGGGACATGAAGGAAGCATGATCAACCGAGGTGGAGACAGACAAAGACGAAAGGCCAGTCAGCCGAAGAGAAATGAAAATACGATGACTAGGGTTGAGTCAAGGAGATTTTAAGGGCAGCTGCCTCTTTTATATGTAAGTGAAAAGAGCACTGTAACAGCTGCAGAGAAAAAGATGATGAAATCATTATGGGACAATCGTCTAGCTACACCAAATTGCAGGTTTCCTCCAGAAGGTAGCATTTTCCCCTGGTAGGAAAAAACAACAAATCATAGAGATGGGAACACCACTCCCTTCTTCAACTCCCTGAGGTCAGGTTCTCAAGACGGTGGCTGTAAGAATGGCCCGGAGGTTAACTGGAAAGGAGGAGGGAGGGGAACGGGTGGTCACAGCACCTGAATGTCACTGAAGGCGCCACCTGGCCATGTGAGAGTCACCTTCCAACTGGCCTCTCCCAAAGTCGGACAAGCAGCCCCATCATTATTTCCCTAGCCCCAAGAATGACAGTGGTGTGGTTTCAGTAACAATAGCATTCTTGGTGGCAGGAGGGACCCAATGGGCACCTTGATTTCCCTTGCTCTTAACACAATTTGGGCAATCACCTGCACTTGACACACCCTCCAAATGCTATCCTCGGCCTCTAGGAAGAATAAAGAACTGCTTGATACGTGGCTTCCAACGAGTCAACAAGGACCCATTCAGCCCGGAGCCCGGAGCTGGGTCGAGAACAGCCGGTGCCATGCCAAAACCGCGGCTGGCCAACTGGTTCCTAATCCGTCCTAATGCCTGATCCAGAAAATGTCATCGCCACCTGAAGTCCCGGGCGGGGCAGAGCTGGGATTAACCCAGAGTTTCTCGGAGTGCAGTTCAAAATCACCGAAGGACCTGCTTACACGCAATACAGATCCCTGGCCCCATTCAAGACCTACCGAGCTCGAATCTCTGGGGCTGAGACGAAGGAATCTGCAATTTTAACAAATGCCCTGTAAATTCTACTAAAGCGTGCACTGAAACAGAGCCAGTGAGTTGGCCATTTTACTTGCTGTTTCAAAAGAAACAACACCGCCCCAAATGCTTTGCTTGTAGACACTTTCCGTTCACATCTGCCTTCCCCTTCTGTCTTCATGAACACAGAGGAAAGGGTCAAAGCGTATCCTGTCCCACTCGCCTTTAGAGCCTTGGTTTAAAGCAGAGGTGCAGGGGCTCTCTTGCCCCGTCTCCCCAAAGCAAAATTAAACCAATCAGGACGCACACAAGAGCAAAAGGTGACCGCCAAAGACCAGACACGAGGCTGAAGACAATCTGTTGCTCGTTCAATACAACAATCATTCTACCACCAAATCCACAGCCACACTTGTGAACGATTAACAATAACATAATATATGCATACATTTCTATTTTAAGAATCAGAGAGGTCGAGCCAAAACCCAGTCAAGACAGACATCGCAGTCTGGTTTAAATCAAGCGGTAGTTCACATTCATCTTTAGGGCGTAAGTTTCTGACCTTGATTTAAAAAAAAAAAATAAGTCAAAGAGAACTAATGCCCCTGTCTTTCTAACTCGTGGCATAAGCCGGTCTCAAAAAAAAGCATTAGATCGCAGGGGACACAAGTGGCCTGTGGTTCAAAAAGACCGCTACACCTGAGCCTCAAAGACACAAGGGCATTGCCTCCCTGCGTTATTTCCAGTTCTGCTGATTAGCTCCGAGAGTCTCCCACCATCATGCTCTCCTGCCCTTGGAACTTGACTCGACTGACCCCCCCACCCCCACCCCGCCCCACCCCGGGGCACCAGGACTTGACTCTCCAAGCCCCAAATACTAACTGGACGGCCACTAAGAGGCATGTTGGGGCCACTCACACAGTGAAAGCTCACAGGAGCAGATGGCATCGAAGCAGAGAAAAAGACCCAAGGGCTGGCTGGGACACGGGGTTGGAGTAAATTTCTTCAAACTCTTTATCTACTTTCTGTTACCTGTCTCCGCAAGGGGATGCGCTTGGTCAGCTTGTGCACAGCGGGCTGGCTGCTGAAGTCCGGCTTCTTGGTCGTGGTCTTCATTCGGCACAGGATGACCGTCACCACCATACAGGCAATTAGGAAGACCCCTATGCAGTAAATGGCTATCTCCAGGTAGTCTGGGGAAGCCGTAATCTCCTTTTCTCTTACAGGAGCTGGAGTGCAGACCACAGGGGAGGAACAGATAAGCAGGCCACAGGGTTAGGACACGGGCTTGATGCGCCCTGGCACAGTTAAACGACACACAAGGTGACGACCATTCCCAAGGACAGGTTTCCCTAATGACTCGAGGCTGCAGGAAGGCCCGGGCTACGGGCCTGCCGTGCACCTCTCTCTCCCCGTGAAGGCGAGCAACCAAGGGCTCCTTGTTTTACCATCAGGGCCCCCACGGCCACTCTCTCTAGCCTCAAGGGGCCTCTGCAATGCAGAGATCACGGTGGACCAGCTCCCACCAAGGCACAAAGAGCAGGCTACAAGGCTACATTCTGTTAGGCATTCGGGCACAATGCGACAGTTAACCACACCTACGAAAAAACGGACTGTCTTCCACGGTGGTCTCGGAGGCCAATCAAATTTAGAATTCTTAAATACAAACAGTGCCCACTTTTGCATCTGAAGGGATCACTCTTCTTTGGATAAAGCTCTTCCAAAGGAAGATGTGACAGGGTAATTTACCCCAGACGAACACACTTTCATATGAAATGAAATAAATATTCATCTAGTAGGGCTGGCCCGGAAAAGTTTCAAATTTCTTAATACAGTCCAGCCTGGTATTCCACTCAACAAATAAATGCATTTCATTTAAAGACCAAATTGCTTTTAGTATAGGATCGCTATGCCCATACCATGAAAAGCTGGTAATATTCCCTCATCGATTACCATTTGAAATTTGTGTCTCTGGTTATACTGATGTCACTACAGTGTTTCTCTTGAACACAGAAATGGTGTTCCATGTGGGTAGCACGTTCGTCTACCAACTTCCAATAAATGATATCCGCTCCCTCCTTCGCCCTCAAGGCTCATCAAGCTACAGGCAGGGTGTTTCCGAACAGTACTTTTCTCAAACTGTGTTCTTACAGTTAATGTGCGAGTACCGTCGGGCAAATTGGTTAAGGGGGGCCAACTACGCACCTGCGGAATGCAGTACTACAGGTAAAAAAGCAAGCTCAATGTAAGAGGCATCTCATTGTTTCAAAGCAAATATTCACAGAGCAGACTCATGACAAAAGGCAGAATGGATACAAATGGTATTATTTAAAGCTTATGCATTGTAACCAGAAAAATACTTGCATGACAGTCAAAACCTCCAGCAACACAGCACAAAATGAAACGATCGACTTATTTTGACGGGATATACAATAAGCATGCAGGTAGGCACGGCACTCTAAACATAAGCGATTAATAACTGCCGTGGGACATCACGAGCTGGCAAACCAGTCAGTCTATGCAGTTTCACAAAGGCAATGACAAAGGCACAGAGGCAGTAGGTAGGGATTATCAGGAAAAGTTCGACCAGGACAGAGATGTCGGTTAAAGATCCAGGCAGCAGCAATATGTAGGCAACGGGGCTTCACCGATGTTGATTTCTCCGCAGGGCAGAAATAACATCAAGCCCGAGATGGCAAGAGCATGCTTTGCAGGAAAAGCGAGCCGAGGGTCCACTTTATTGTAACACACGGCAAGCCACCGATTCCCGAGGTAGGTAACACACTGCTTCTGTACAACCTCTGTGCAGAGGTGGGGCTCCCCCGGCACCTCGGCAGACATCCATCTATTTACATACCATTAAAAAAGAGAGAGTGGAGCAAAGTAACAAAAGTACACATGGGATTTCAGCGAAATGGAATCTGAGATGAGAAAAAACTACTTTGTATGTTACAAAGTAATTTCAACGTCTTCCTTAAGGGAAACAGGGACGGGTGAGAATTTGTACGTTGACTCCGTGACTCACGATAAATGTTAAGATCCCTTTGGGTTTTTTAAGGATGAAATTTTACCTGATCATTCACGTGAGGGTGGGATCTCATTGTGAGTGAAATTTCCAAAGGCAACTGTCTTATCCCTGGGGGATCATTTTAGACATTTTTAAAAAAATCTCTATGCCGGGATAAAAGGGGCCATTTTCTGCGAACAGAAGCGGTGTTAATTTTGTAGCAATCAACCAAGAAAAGGGCAACAACCGTGGAGAGAAAGAGCAGGATGTACCTGGCAGGACTGTCAACCATGCTGAGTGAAAGGATATCCCAATAGAATTACCCGCCAAGCACGTATACTCCCCAGCATCCTCAAAAGTTACATTCCGAATATAGAGAACCTCAATCTCTTTGTCCGTGGTATTAACACCGGCGGCCTAGAAAACAAGGGAAGCAAGAGAAAAGGCTAGACGACCCAGGAATGATTGTGGAGGGGGCCGTGGAACCATGAGGCATCACACCGGGGGCTCCGGCAGGTGCTGGCCACCAGAAGATTCCGACTGCAGCCCGTCCACAGAGCCCACAACCGAGAGACACGGAACGACACTGAGCAGCTCACCTCCACAGGCCCCGTCACCACACCGGCTTCACCACCTAGACATGCATGCAATCAAACGCATGGAAAAATCAACCCACAGAGATCCATTCTCTTAGCCTTTGTTTTGCTTTGGATTTAGGGATGGTTTTCCAGAAGTATGGCGCCCAAAAGTCCAAGCTGGGTTCTGGTCCTGTTGGCTGCAGACTCCCACCTTGACAAAGGGATGGTTCTGTCTCAGTGACCGTGTTATAAAACAAAACACTGGACACGAGCCCAGGTGGACACCTGGCCTACCCTTCCAGCCCGGTGGGAACCAACCAGGGTGGAACTGCGTGTCAGCTACCAGACTCCAATTTTCACTCCTGCGTAACCATTTGACTTACGTCGCATGGAAAGCAACAGAAGTAGGATCTTGGTAGCAGAGAAACGGGGTGGGTTTTTTTTTTTTCATTAATATCAACATTCAAGTGTGGGTCGTGACAAACTAAGGAAGGCAACCTGTTGTTGCCTTTGACAGGGTCCAGCAGTGCACCGATTAAAATGGACTATGCTCGACGAGGGGATGGCGAGATCAAGGGCAGTATCTCACGAGCACCAGTCACGCCACCAAGAAGTAATATTCTGCTGGAAAAATCACACAGTGCCGATATTTCTCTACAAATCTGCGGCAGGAGAAGGTAGGAATTCGGCTGATATGCAAACGTCACAAATTCAACCAGGCATGCCGGTGTGTATTTAAAATGCAGAAGATGTACAGCGATGGGGAATGTGCACCCCGGACAAGGTTAACCAGAAGAAACGACTTAAAAACTGGGTGGGGGGGTGGGGAGTGGAAGGCAATCTTTGGAAGAAATTAGAGCAACATTTTGAACATTGTGGGCATTTTTCCATGGCTACTGGCATCATACCAGCTGCATCACCAGAGAAAGATTATTATGAATATACCAAGGCCACAGAGTATCCTATAAGCTGCCTGCAGTCTCTCAAAGCACCAAGTCTTTTCAGCTTCTATATCCAGCCTTCTTTAAAAAACAAAACAAAAAAACAAAAAAAAACAAAAAAACAAAAAAACACAGAACGTTGTTACCTTGCTGTTTGGGCAGGACAGTGAGCCAGGCAGACTGGTTGGCCTGCCCTATATAATTGGAGACCTTACATATATACTCCCCAGCATCCGCCTCCGTCACATTGAACAGAGCAAGCACTTCTGCATTGGAACTATTTATCCCCGAGTGCTGGAACAGACACAGGAGAACAATATAACGGCCAACCAGGAGGAACTTTGTACCGTCTAGGGTCCCACCACCAATGCACCACAAGAAAACAGCCTCCGTTAGGTCTAAACAGCTGCCTCGACGGGTTGTGGGTTCAGAAAGGTCAAAGTAAGCCAACGGGTGGACAAATGGAAGTGACCCCGTGGAGAGGGATGGAAGGGCGTGATGGATACCCAGCAGAATGGACTGGTAGTTCCGGGTTGGTCGTTTTCTAGTTCTTTTGAGCACTGGTATTCTCACTGGTTGGGAGGTCTTAGTGGAGCTACCTATGGTTCTACTGGAAGACTGTTCTTTTTAAGGACGTTCTCTTATGGGCACCCAAATGCGGGAGACACGGGAGGCAGTGGCTGAGAAGAGGGTGTACAGACTTAGCTGCCGCTGGCTATCACCATCCTGCAGAGTAAGACAGATCTAAAAAATAAAGAGGCTGATGCCATTAACACGGGGACTTGCAAGGAACCAAATTACGAAACACAAGGAGAAAGTTTCCTTGTTCAGCACCTCACTAATGCAAAACCACTTTCTGAAGGTTAGTGTCTAAACCACATTTGGATGGATTTCAAAGGGGAAGGAGTTTTCTTTTTAAAGCAAAATGTAAATGGTTTCTAAAAGATGGCTACTACCACCGGGCCCTAACCTTAACCCATCGTGTTAAGAGAGAACGACATCGGCGTTAACGATGCACACTGGTACAATGCCTAGAGGTTATAAAGCTCGTTCCGTGCACACCATGGCGTAGACCCTGCACAACCACCCTGTCGGGGACCTAGCAGCACAATCCCCGCTTTTATGGATGTGCGGCCGAGCCTAAACGTCTCGTCTGAGATCTCAGGGCTGATAAATAGATGAATTATTCTGACTCCAACTAGAATAGCCCTGCCAGCACCCCGTGGGGTCCCTTCTGCAATTTTACTAGCAAGTCTAATAATCTGCTCATTCCCAAAACACACTCTCTCCTGGCCGGTCCAATAAGAGCATCATTTTCTGACACCAACAGGAAATCAAAGAACCGGTCCCCGAGTCCACGACGGAGACCCCAGGAGTGGGGTCCCTTCAGATTCAGAAAGTCCTCACCTTCAGAACCTTGAGGTAGGGTAGCCCGTCGGGTCCGTATTTGCTGCCGTTCTTTTCCACGTGTTTGATCCACTGAATGTGGGGCTGGGCATCGCTGTAAACTTTGCAGACAAACTCCACGTCGCCTCCGACCACGGTGGAGGCATTGGCAGGCAGTCCAGCCTGGAGGATGGGCCGGTGTGGTGATCGCTCTGAGGGAGAGAGGGAGGGAAGGGGGAGCGGGGACGGGGCAGGGGGAGGTGGGGGAAGACGGATAAATGAGTTGTGTTGTCCAGAAGGCTGCTCGTGAAAGCAAGCCAAAAAGGCCTCAAGTCTGCTGGCTGACTCCTTTGAAATAACACCGCGGCCCAATGCATAACAAAAACGACTTCAAAGGAGCCTGCTGGAGCACGACCCTTGTAAAAAGAATACTTATTTAGAAAACAGAGAGAAGAACTGCTTGTATCTCAAGTTATTGGTTGTCCGTGGCCACCTACCCAACAAGGGAGAAGGTTCTGACAATCGAAAGACAACGGCAGGGGAACGGGGGCCCCTTCGCGGGTCCCACTTGGGATCAGATCGGAGACTCACGCTGACCATAAGCTTCATGTCGCAGGCAAGGGACAAGACAGAGGCGCCCTGAACACCCAAATGGCTCCCAGACACGGTAGCTCCTGAAACGTCTCTAAGATGCTCTGAGAAGACTTCATTTCTTGTTTTTTTTTTTTTAATTTTTTTTTTTTTTCAACGTTTATTTTTGGGACAGAGAGAGACAGAGCATGAACGGGGGAGGGGCAGAGAGAGAGGGAGACACAGAATCGGAAACAGGCTCCGGGCTCCGAGCCATCAGCCCAGAGCCTGACGCGGGGCTCGAACTCACGGACTGCGAGATCGTGACCTGGCTGAAGTCGGACGCTTAACCGACTGCGCCACCCAGGCGCCCCAATTTCTTGTTTTGAAAAGAAAAACTGAACGCTCAAGCTCCAAGTCATGAACTCCTGAATGAACAACCAGATTCATCTCTTTTCAATGGATTTACTCCATTTTACTCTTTATTCACCCATACGTGGGGGAGGGGCAGAGAGAGAGAGAGAGAGAGAGAGAGAGAGAGAGAGAGACAGAATCCGAAGCGAGCTCCAGGCTCCGAGCTGTCAGCACAGAGCCCAATGCGGGGCTCGAAACTCACGGACGGAACGCGAGATCACGACGTGAGCCGAAGTCGGACGCGTAACCGACTGAGCCGCCGAGACACCCCATAAATAGACATCCTTTATTCAGACGCGGCACCCAAAGAAACAGACAGACATCAGTTCCCCAATCCTGGTGATGTGCTTAGGCCACGTTCGAGAAAGCCCCATCGAGGGTATGCTTGCCACCCTCACGTGCCTTGCCTCTCTCTCTAGGAAAAGAGTTCTCAACAAAAGACATCCCTCGTCTTACACCTGGCAAAGTTCCTCTCCGGCTTAGAGGTGGTCTGTGCGGAAGTCCCACAGAGGCAACCGTGTCAAGGTTCGTGAGACGTTGTACACAAGAGTCCCCAAGAATCTGGTAGTAACAGAGCAGCCTGCTGTGTGATCCTGTCCACAAAGGCCCTAGGATCACAAAGTGGCTGGAATCCTCCTACGTGGCAGTTTGGGCAAGAGCCACACGTACCCAATCCCCCATCTGTCGACCCACAAACGTATTACCCCGTACACCTCACCACGTGTACATGCACGTGTGAGTCAGCCTCCTTATCTCTGTCCACACCGCAGATACCACCAGCTTAAAAAATGTTGAACCCCAGCTTAAAAAATGTCCAAGGGAAATAAGGAGATCCCAGCCGACCCGCCACCCCAAGGATGCCTCCACCCTGCACCTGGGTATCCCTGTGCACTGGGCTGGAAATAGCAAGTTAGAAGGATAGATATCTAAGTGCTTCTATATTTGGGCCTTTCAGATGAAAATATCATTTAGTGGAATTTGTTGGACACGAGCCAGACCATGTGCAAATTGATTTTACTGCACAAGCCTGTTGGTCTTTAAAAACGTAAGAAAAAGAAAAAGAATAGAGAAAGAAAAAATGCTAGTGGGTTACTCTTAGCACATTTCATTCCAGAGTCTCCCATCACTTCACAGACACCTACGTTTTCACATTAAAAAGATAAGGATTGCAGAGCCTCCAAAGAAGTCATTCATTTGCCTGACATTACCCTGTAGGCTACGCAAAGAACCCAGAAGTCCTAGTTTTGTGGGCAGAAAATCTCAAAGCTGGGATCCCTTCAATCACCAGAAACCCTCCCTCTTCGGCTGATATGTCATCCCAGGAATGGGCCACAGCAAGCCTCCCGGTCAGGTCTGGCGGCCAGCTGGATGCCACGGGGACCCGGCTTGCAGCTGGCAGGGACAGGTCTGGTTTAAATCCCGGCTAGCCCCATCCACGTGAGAAGAACAGAGTGAAGTCCACACGTGCACTGTCCTCGCCAGGCCTCCTCCCAAGAGACGCAGCGGGAGGGGATCTGTCCTCCGGGCCGGATGCTGCCAGCCAAGCTCACGAAATACGCTCCTTTTCTACATACCGAATGTTGAGGAGGTTTCCTCGTTCCCAGAGAGAAGTGACTTTTAGGTATCAATTCATGCTCTGGCTCGGCGTTCCAGTTTTGTGTACATGTGCTTGTGTGTTTTCAAGATAAATATTTACAGTGGACCGAAATATTTATTCTCGGAAACAAAGGTACTGTAAAATCTTAAATGTCATGAGCCAGATCAGCTGAATTTCAAACCGAGTTCTCCGTCTTAAACATACTTGTTTCTAATAAATCGTTTCACAAGCAAACATTGTGCACGTAATACCAAATAATGATGTCCTGTGAACAATGGTTGCTTTCAGACCGCCCGGCATCTCTGGCCTGCGCCAGCCTTCAGCAGGGAATGTAGTCACTGGGGCAACACTGGCAGGGCCCGCTACAGACCTGCAGCCTTGTTTTACTTGCGGTCGACGTGCCGCTGCGTTCCAGTTATTAAGTTATTCCATTGCTATCTTGACTATTTTCACCAAAAAAAAAAAAAAAGCCTCTGCGATGCCTTAATGTTATTGCATTTGCAAATTACAACACGCCAAAGTTGCCGGCTTGCAGTCTCGAATTTATCCTCTCGAATTTTCTCACCTTATACAAAACCCTTAACCACCCCCCCCCCCCCCCCCCCCCCCCGCGCCGGCTCCCTCCGCCCTTTCTCACTTTGGGTACAAAAACCGGCAAGCGGGATCGCTCTGTAATCGAAACCTTACACCGTCTTCCAAAACTTATTACAGCTGCCTTCGGTATAAAATGAAACCTTAGAGAATGTTATTTAAAATGTTTTTAAAAAGTCAGTAGGCCTCATGTTTCGTTTCTCCACATCAGGCTTTGATTTCCTTTGCAACCTCATTCTCTGCCCTTAAACAAGTCAGAGAGCAGGCCCCAAACATCTTGGAAAAGGTCCCGGGATGCCAGCATCTGCAAAGCACAGTACGGCTCATCTCAGATCCTGCAGCCATCACTCTTCCCTGGTGTCTGTCAGACCCGTCCGAGCGGTGGTCAGCAGTAGGGGGGAGGACAGAAATTAGAACAGGAGTTCTCACCCTGGGGTGAGAGCGGGACACGGGCAGTGGCTCCCGCAGAGGCGAGACCTCCGTGGCCAGGCCCCGGTGGGCACCTGGGAAATACCACAGGAACAGGACAGTGATGGTGGCATGAGGACCCTCCACAGCCAGTGTGCTCTCCCCCAACCTCAGCAGGCCCTGGGCAGAGCAAACTCCTCAGGTTCCCAGAGCTTTGCACAACAAGCCAATGTAAAAAAATAATAATAATAAATAAGTCAATGAATTATCTCTGGATTAGGGAATAAAACTCAGAGCTGGCCCATCTGTTTTATTATATTTTTTAATGTTTACTTATTTTTGAGAAAGACAGACGGTGCACGAGCAGGGGAGGGGAAAAGAGAGAGGGAGAGACACAGAATCCGAAGCGGGCTCCAGGCTCCGAGCTGTCAGCACAGAGCCCGACACGGGGCTCGAACCCACGAACCGTGAGATCACAACCTGAGCCGAAGTCAGACGCTCAACCCCCTGAGCCACCCAGGTGCCCCTGGCCCATCTCTTGTTCTTCTACATGATAACAAAAATCACAGCTTCTCCACCAGGAAGGATTTACAGTTTGGGGCAAGGTTCTCTTACAGCATGTTTAACTCTCTGATCTTATATAAAACAGATTCTTTTTTTTTCCCTCTCTTTGCAGGGGCAGTGAAATAAATATATGGTAAACAGAGAAGCTGATGAGCAGCTCACCCCTGTGCCCTTATGGAGGTTTTTAAAAAAATATCCATTCTGAGTTGAGCAGGTTGCACAAAGACAGTGCCCGGACCTGGAACGGGGTCGAGAACCTTCAAAAGAGCAACTCTAAGGCCCCTGCGTGAATTCCGACTTGAGACAGGATGGAAAGCACCCCACAGGGTGCCGAGAAGGCAGCTGGCTGCACTATTGGAACGAGGTCCCATCAAATCAGTGCATAGTAAACACAGGCTGATGCGCTTTAAAAAACACATTCTCTCCTCCGTGTTTTCGCTCATCCCCCCGTGTCAAGAGCTCCGAGTGAGTCCACTTTCCCAAAGCAGAAGGCCCAGCGGCTAGGAGTCTCCACTTCGAGACTGACCTTCTCAAGTCCTGCTCCAAAGCTCGGAGCCACAACCAGAAAGAGCGGGCGGAAAAACAGCCTGCTTCGCTCCACGAGGTAATTACGGTGAAAGAGAGAAAAATACCTGAGTGACAAAGAATAAATCTTTGTTAATTGACCACTGAAACTTTATAACATGCCAGTCCCTCCTCTGGACATAATAATATGTTGGCTCGTAAGAGATCTACAACTTTTGCTCTGACATAGCAAAGGCCATAAAAAACGTCCAGCGAGCATGTCTACAGGCTCAGTAAATACGCATCCCGGGGATCAGAAGGAGACCAGGTTCTTAAATTACACCTATAAATTAATCAAGCCCAGAGCTGCTGGTTTCCCAGCACACATTGGTCTCCTGAGCATTTCTCCCCAAAAGTGCAGCCGCGCTTGCCACAAAGAACCGTTTCGAAGCTGCTCTCTCAGCAGCAGAATGCCAAGAGGCTCAAATCACACGGAGTGCCCCGTATTGATCTGGAAATAGCACGTCTCCTGCTCTGGGGCACCCACTCACTCGCAGGGTGTGG